AGTGTCACTGGCCCTCATATGTGGGATCCGAACCGGGGCCCTCTGGCATCCCAAGCGAGTTCTTAACCATCGCGCCACTCGGCCGGCCCTGAATATTTCTACATATATAACTACCTGAGATGACTAAGTTTTAAATTTTTTGTTTTTTGCTTCTGATGTCTGATGTTTTTATTTCTTTATCTATTGTGAGCTGACAGAATTGGATCCATTTTGTTGGTTAATTATTTTATCTAGAAACTATGTCAAGTACTAAGTCTCAGTTCTAATAGATATTGACTTTGTTTTGGGGTTTCAGGAATGTGGGGGTTTCATATATTTTATATTTTGCAAATTAAGAGTGCAAGTTATTTATCCAAATCTGTAACTGTCCTTTGACTGAAGAGCAAGATTATTAATAATTTTTTAGGATGTTACCCTAGGCCCTAATTTTGTAATGGTTCATCTGTTTACTGTATACAGGGCTCAGAAATGTCTGATGTACCTAATGCATCACAGATGTGGAAATGATTATAAAATAAAATTTACATATGTATAAAGTGAATTAATGCTAATATATTCCCTTGGGTTTGGCCATTCTCATATTCTTGCTATGTTTGGAGGCTTATTTTGTAAAATGCATTCAAATTCCTTAAAGTGAATAAGATACATTCATCTTATTTAACCAGCATGCTTTTGGTTAAGTATTTTAAAACTCAGTTGAATAAAATTTAAGTCAGTAATATAAAAAGTAATGAGCTGTTTTACAGTGTGATATGGAAAATTAACTGTATTTCTTGCTATAAGAAGAACATACAGCATTCCACAGTAGATAAAGATTTCCTAAGGAAATTAAGTTTGATAAAGGTTTATTTCACGATGATAGCAAATGTTGGGAATTGGCATTCCAATGTCAAATCAAATTTTAGCTTTCTACTGATAATTTTTTTCCCTCCAGAAGAAGACTCTTAAAACTTAAATTTGTTTAGGAGGGATTATAATGCTGTTTTAGGAATTATGGAACAGACTTTATTTTTCTACAAATTAACTGAACAGTAAGGGTAATCAGTGAATTGCAGTACTTACTGATAGTTTTTAAAATAGCCCTTAATGGAAATTTAATATTTAGGTTTTCATTTAGGAAATATTTTAGTTTGTAATAATGATGTGCGATCTAAATGATTCCTATAATATTTGGTTGTCCACTTGTTTTCATTGGATGAAGTGTATTGTTTAATAATTTACATTTTGATATTTTACATATAGGGTAAGCACTATGATTAACCATATTTTAGGTAATTGATATGCCATTGAGACAAATTCAGATCTTCATTTTTTTCTCTCTTCTTAATATCATAAGAGTGTTTGTTATATATCACTTTACCAATTAGTAAATGTGAAGGTAAAGATTGAAAATGAAGATTTTGTTTTGTTTTGTTTTCAGTTCGGCACTTAAGCAGCTTTTAGAAGTTATTTCTCTGTTCTAATAACAAGTAAAAAACTGAACAAACTGAAAAATCAACAGCTATTCTTAGATCTGTCAGAGAAGTGAGGTCACACATCAAACCCTGCTGCCTTCCAGATTGGAGAGACAGGCAAATACAGAGAATGACAACTTATCCTAGCAGAAACCTCCAAGGGAACCAGTACTGGGTAATTAACGAATTGCTGGAGGCTCTATGTGGACCACCTTAGTTTGATTTTTTTTGTTCGAAATGGTAGTGTTTTGAAGGGACCAAAGTTTTGCTTTTTGGGGTATTGATTAAGAAACAGAAGATCCAGAAGGAACCTTTGACCCTTGCCACCCTTTCTGCCTAAGAGATTCAGAGGGAAAAGTCTGGAAGAAATGCTAGAGATAAAAAAAACTGTAACAGAAACGAGAATGCCTTTTATGGGCTTTTTAGTAGCCTGGACACAGCCGAGGAAAGAATATCTCTAAGCTCGAAGATATATCAGTAGAAACTTCTAAAAATGAAAAGGGAAAAAAGGCTGAGAGAAAAAAACAGGAAAAACATACCCAAGGACTGTGGGACAAGGACAAAAGTGTAACATATGCATAATGGGAATACAAGAAGTAGAAGAAAAAGGAACAGAAGAGATATTTGAAGCAATAATGACTGGTAATTCCCCCAAATTAATGTCATATTTCACACCATAGATCCAGGAAGTTTAGAGAACATCAAGCAGAACTCTTGCTCCCAAAATTTAAACTAGGCATATCATGTTTAAACTGTAGAAAATCAGACATACAGATGATAATCTTGAAAGAAGCCAGAGGGGGCAAAAAACACCTTATCTATAGAGGAGAAAAAGTAAGAATTACTTTTACAAATGAAACCTACCTGACAATCTTTCATTCATGGACTCCTAGGAATATCTCATACAGCTCTTTGGTTCCATGTAAGAGAATTTGACAACTATTGTGAAATACGAATCCCTCCTTGCCTGGCCAATATTTGATAATTGGAATTTGATTATGGAACAAAGGATTTATTTCACTTGAAATAGCTACCTCTAGAAGGAATATGCTTAGGACACTGTTAGGAAGTCAAACTCTTGAATATACCTCTTTGCTTTTATTATTTTTATCTTTGGTGCTTTCATTTTTTTAATGAGACTTCAGTATACAGTAATGGTTTTCTGGGCAGATTTTGGAAAATTCATTAGTACTGAAAAATTTCTAGTTAGGGAGTTATCAGAGAAAGAACTAATAAGACAATATTAAAGTGTAGTTGGTAAATTAACGTCAAGACTCATAAATGAATCATGTTAAATGAGTTATGAATGAAATCAATATTATTGTTGAATTTAACTATGTGTTAAATCAATAGAATTTCTTTGACATAATCACAGAATAGGAATTGATGTATGTGTGGTATATTGTATTGAAGGGTTGCAGAGTGATGAACTAGGGAGTTTATATTTTTAAGGATGTTATAATTCCATGAATTTCAGTTAGATTTGTTTGAATGTGAATCACTTTTATAAATAATCAGCAAAATATCATTGCCTTCATATTTTGAAGTTGAGTCAGCTTTTGTATATATTCAGGTGAATGTAAATTTTAACTTATTTTCTTCTACATTTCCCAAAGTTTAGTAAATAATTAAAACAGTATTAATGACTTTCAAGAAGAATTCATTTTATTTGACGTCCTACAGCTCCTTATCAGATGCTTGTTAAACACTCTGAAAATGTTGCACAAAGTAGAGAATAGTCTTTGTATTCATAGCCTTTATCCACAAGGAAAAAAACAAACAAACATTAAAGTGTAGAAAAGCTTCTGCTGAGAAAATAGAGATGAATTTATGTGTGAATGTTAAGGACATATGGATATGTTTAAGTATTTTTGTCATAAAGTAAAGAATTTGCAGAGTGAGAATAAATGCATTATAGGTATTGCTGAAATCAAAATAACTATTTTTTCATCAAGGTTTTTGTTTGTTTTATATTGTGCTTGTCTTTTTAAGAAACCAGATACTTAATTATAAACTGGGTAATTATTTTTTAACTAGTTTTTTCTTAATAATTTAATGTTAAGAACTATTAGAATTCTGTGATTGTACATTTACAAAGTATTAATTGGGCAAGTCATTTATAAATATAATAATGTGATGGTGATATATATTTTTCTACCTTTTTATTGTATAAAATATACATAACATAAAATTTACCATTTAACCATTTTAGGTGTATACCTACAAACAGTCCCATGGGACTAATCTGTCTATGTGGCAAAATAGTGGAAAGATTTGTAGTTAGAGGTGAAAAGCCTACTGAGCCTGGTGATAGCTAGTTGTCCAGGACAGAATATCAGTTCAAACTTAAACCCTGCCTAAAAAACTAACAATTTCCAACCCACTCAACACCCCACCCCATATTAAGCCAGAATGATACTTCCTATTTGCCTATGCCATCCTACGATCAATCCCAAACAAGCTAGGAGGAGTAGTGGCCCTAGTCCTATCCATGCTCCCCCGATTAGGTGAATTAGCAGATGTCCGGCGGTAATATTGGCTGTTAGTCGTACGGCGAGGGCTATTGGTTGAATAAATAGGCTGATAGTTTCAATGACTACTAGCATAGGGATGAGGGGTAGAGGGGTTTCTTGTGGTAAGAAATGGGCTAGAGAGACTTTTGTTTTATAGCAGAATCCTAGAATGATGGCCCTTTTGGCTAGACACTAGAGTGGAAGTTTTTATTTGAAGTTGAGAGATTGATTTTGGTAGCGTGGCTTCTAGTCAGGTCAAGTCTAGTAGGAGGGAGGCTGTCTTTTGGCCTAGGATGAGGTTGATCAGAGGGAGGGAGCGGTGCATGATTGTTGGGAAATAGCCGAGAAGGTTAGAGAATTTGAAGCATTAAGTACACTGACATTGTTGTGCAACCATGCTATCCATGTCCAGAACTTTTTCAT